ACTGACAGGAGGAAACGAGAAAACCTTTTTCCGTTATAGCCATGGTGTCAGTCATAGCCTGTGATGGTGCCCTTCCTATATCTCTATTATGTCTTTCACAAAAAACAACAACAACCACAACAACAACACAAAAACGCCTGATCGCAGGAAAATAGTATCGGGATTGTTTACCATTTATTAAAATTTTCAAAAAATGGGGGTTGGAAAGTAAATAGAATACGACTTTCTGGAGTCGTTCCAATGGAAAATTCCGGGAGAGGCGGAAAATCCCCTGCTAAGGTAGTCCTGGACCGAACGTGTGTGTTCCATTTATTTGTTCAATGGGTCACCTTTGATACCAGTTTCAGGCTTTCGCGGCCGTTTTTCGGTAGATGGAACCGATTTGTGCAAATGGTAAACGCGAAGTCCGGGACGAATTTACCAACCCTGAATTTTGCTTACCACTTGCCCAAACAGTGAACTGACTGGCTTGACGACTTCTTTACCCCTGGGGAGAAGAAAGATCCTGGGAATGAGGTTAAAAATGAGACAATTCATGGCTTCATACATGACGTATTGTACCAGTTTGAGTGTTTATTGACAAGATGGTCGTCGTGGGTGCTGCGATCTTGCCTCATGGAGCAATGGTATTTGACGGGGATCCCAATTCAGCGAGCCCAGCATGTCGAGAAAGGAACATTTCCATGCCAGCAGATCTTATTGGAAATTGCTCCAAGTTGTACAACTCATGCGAGCGCGTGGGCGACCGTGTGGCCAAGATGAATCCGGATGTTGTGTTACTCGTCACCCCTCATGGAATCGCCCTGTCTTCTGGTTCATATGGTGTGTATATGGCGAACGCAGCTCGCGGAAACGCACTTTGGAACGACTGCTTTCAAGACATAGAACTCAGCATTCCTCTTGACACGGAGATCTCCAAAAAGTTGCTAGGGTTTGTGCAAGAAAAGGGTTTCAAAGCCGATGGTATTATCACGTTTTCTTTGGCTGAAGCACCTTTAAGGTGGGGCGAAGTTATACCTTTATGGTTCGTGAATAAGAAGGTTGACTCGGACAAAGTGAAGTATGTAATCGTTACTTTCGCGCGGATTTATGAGGAAGAAGGGTTTAATGCAAGGGCAATGGGGAGAGCCCTGCATGAATTTGCTTCAAGTCTTCAGCAGCGAGTAGCAGTGGTTATCAGTGGAGATTTGGCCCATACACATACCACAGAGTATTGCATTCCTCTCTACTTACCAGGTATGCAAAAGCCACAGGTGTGAGGGGTGGGTGAAGATTTGGCCCTACACATATGACAGAGTGTTCTATTCCTCTCTGATGTGTGCTTTGGAGATTCAGCAGAAAAGAAAAAAGGGAGTTGGAAAAGGAGCAACATAGCATTGTAGATGGGATGGGCATGTCTTTCTAAAGTGCCAGCTATCTCCTTGCATCTGAACCATACCCCCCTCCTCCCTAGGAGCACCTAGACAAGAAAGGCTGGCTCTGTGAGATAGAGACAGTTTTACACTTCAGTTCTTGACACACCTCACACATTCCTAGTTTGATGGCAATAAATATTTTTTTGGTATTATCAGGAATTGTATTTAACATTCTATTAATTGTTTTTAGATCCTAGATGGGACCTTAAACCTACTGGTATTGCAGAAGAATTTGATAGGGCATGTGAATTGTGGGCAAGAGGTATTCCATACGGTGAAGTTACAAAAGTGGGATCAGGTAACAATATAACAGGAAGTGATGCCAGATATTTACATTTATTATACATCAGACTCACTATGAAAAATCTGATTGGTCGAGAGCATTCAATCAATTCACAATAGCTTGTGAACTTGACATGATAAATGCAATATCTGCAGCAGATATTGCATTTATCATGTCAAGTTCAACGTCTGCCTGGTTACCAAGCCCCTTGGAGTGTTCTCCTCAGAAACAGAATGGCTGAACGCTTTGCTTCTGTTTCTGAGGATGAATTATGGATTTTTCTATTTTAATGTATACTTTATTCAGACAAAGGTTTTATTATTGTATTTTTAAATTTTTAAATGATCTTGGTTAAGCTTATCAGTGTCACTTTCACCTTAGTTTTGAAATAAAGCCATTTTTCAAC